CTCCTTCTACAAGGCTTCAATATCCTTGATCCCAAGCCACATAAAGACACACTAAGAAAGAGAACTTCAGAACAATATCCCTCATGAACAGCGATGAAAAAATACTCAATAAAACACTGGCAAATCGGATCCAAGAACACATCAAAACAATTATTCCACACAATCAAGTAGGATTCATCCCAGAGATGCAGGGATGTTTCAACATACGAAAATCCATCAATGTAATCCACCATATAAATAAGCTAAAAAGCAAAAATCACATGATCATCTCACTAGATGCAGAAAAAGCCTTTGACACAATCCAACACCCCTTCATGATAGAGGTCTTGGAGTGATCTTGGATAACAGGAGGGGAAGGAAAGGTAGATGGACCTGGAGTTGATAGGTGAAATAACCTTGTTTCTAATTTAAATTTAAAAATGAAAATATAAAAAATATAAAAAATATATAAATGAGCACAATTTCTGAAGACAAAATTTTATAGCACACAATTCAATTAGGTAAAACACCTACTTTCTCAATCTGGACACTTGGGGGAGGGCCGGGGCCCTCCCCGGAAAAAATGACAGACTCTAGTGATCCCCATGGAGGGCCTAACTCTCCCTGGGGAATGGATTGGGATTGGATGAAGGGCTTGGGGTAAAGGTGGGGGGTAACAGGTGGGAGAGGGACCTGGGACAGACACAGGAAGCATGCTTGTTTCTAATTTAAATATGTAATAAAAAGTTTTTTCAAAAAAATAAAAATGCTGTACAGAACTAACATTTTCTTTAAAGCCATACACAACTTTTGTTTATATATCATATTTTCCAATTTTATTTTTATTGTTTTCATGGATACGTATGACAGAATATTATACTACTATCCTATGCTCTCACATTGACTTTCATCTACATATCAGTAAATGGGAGAGGTTTCTCTGAGGTTTGTTTGGTTCCTTAACTACAGGTACATCAAGCATGACTAATTACAGTTTAACAATTATCCCAAATATCATGTGATTTTATGCAACAAATTGGTCAAAAAGTATGTTATTACTGTAATAAGAGTATGACAACAAAATTTAAATTGGGAAATAATAACTATATGTTGTTTTAGAAAATAAAATTTCCCTTCCATAATTCTATATTTTTACACTTGGGACTCTGCAATACACAGTCATACACATTTAACAATCATGAAACTATAACACAGAGAATTAAACACATGGAAATCCAAAGAAGTCCCAAGCATTAAGTACTATAAGTACTGAACAAAATATTTTGAATTTCTGATAATGTTAAGTTAATTATGAGAAATGAATCAAATGGGACATAAAACAGGTGTTACAATCTGAATAAAAATATGATACTCTATTTTTGGTTCATTCCTTTCAACATGAGTGCTTCTATGCTAGTGTGTATGAGCATGTGCATGTGTGTGTGTGTGTGCATGCACATGTGTGTGTGCATGTGCATGTGCATATGTGTGTGCATGTGCATGTACGTGTGTATGTGTGTGTGTGTATTCACAGGGAAACTTGTGTCAGGTATTCAGTTATAAATGTGCACTCATCTTCTGTGCACAAAATGATCACAAGAAAAAGACCAGTTCATTTGCATTTTTGGGATATTTTTGTTTCATAATAATTTCTCATGGCACTTCTTAAAGTTCATCTAGAACTTTTACTTATATATTATGTTTTCAAATTTTATTTTTATTGTTTTCATGAGTATTTATAAAAGAATATTTATGTGCATCCTTTACCATTTATTTGGGTCTTTTTTCTCTATTTTCTCATATTCATTTGTGTTTTAATTAATTTTATTTGATACTGTTAGTATTATTTAGTTTTAAACATCACTATCTCCAATGTAATAATAGAAAAAAAGTGTGTGGAATGGGTTGGTTGGGAAGTTGAGAGTTGGGGCAGAGTAAATCACAATAAGAATATATTGAATGATGAATTATTTTTTAGCAAAATTAAAAAACTAGAAATATACAGAATTTCAGCTCACAGAATCTTTTCAGTCATCTCAGAACTACAAATATTGTGAGGCAGAGTACATTGAAATGTAGAGGAAGTCTGAGTGGATTTGTTCTTACTGATCATTGATTCCTGTGGTAGCTTTGAGGAGGAGGACTGTAGTTTCATTGATACAACCATTGAATAAGGGCTGTATCATTGCAGAGTGCACAACTGGACTTTGTGGGAAGCACAAGGCATGGAAGCAAAAGCCTGAACAAGGTTTCACAGAACCTACACTCCACTATTTCCCCTCCCTCATGTTCATCACTGCTTCTACCCTTATTAGAACTACTTTAAATATGAGGAAAAGTATTGGCTTGGCTGAGTTTCTCTGTGCCCAAGGACAACAATATATTCTATATCTTCTTAATTTATATTTTAAAATATTCAGTGCCTGAATGTTTTTCTATCACTTTTAGAAATATTAATGAAGCTTCATACTGTTTTTAGGCCTACAACATTCTAATAATAGATTTGATCTAATACATTTGAAATTGCTATCATTTATAGATTTAACACTGCTTCCCACAGAGACAGTGGGAATGAAAACCTTCATTTGAATATTGCTCTGGCTATTTTTATACATTATTTGAAAAATTTACATACTTCACAGCACTTCTTAAAACATGCATAAGTGGACATGTTGACTATGCACTGATTTTTATCAGCATGTTAACCAGTGTATAAAAAGATATCTAGCATAATTATTTCAAAATTTTTCTGTTGATTCATTACCTAACAAAATGAATGAAGCTATAATATATTGTCATGAGTAAAATAACACAATTGATTTAATCACTATCAACTTGACTTAGTATTTTAAGGTAATAATTTGATTTAAATTTGTGTGATTTATAATTAAATTAAAGTTTACTCATTTTACATGTTTCTCAGTGTTTTTGTCTGCTGTAATAACTTATGTGTGCTTAGTGCATGTGTTGACCATAACACAGCATTGCATGCCCTGGATCTGGAATACAGATGATACTTAGCCACTTCTGGGTGAAGAGAATAAACCCCAGTTGTCTGGAAAAGGGTACAGTGCTCTTATCTGCCTAATAATGACTTCAGCCCCATTTACAGGAAACAGCTATGCTATGAATATGTAACATGACTTCAATACTGTGTGATGACAGAGTTCCACCAGAATATGGTCTGAAAATGTTTTGAAAATATGAATATAAGCTTTAATTATAACAGCTAAATATGAAACTTGTAATTTTTTTCTGCCTTAAGTCTTGTTGTCTTTACCAACTCCACAACACAGAAAAAATGCACACTAAGCCCTTTATGTTAAAAACAGCCTAGAAATAATAAAATATGATTGCCATCCATTAGATAAATATTCAGTGAAATATGTGACAGTAATTTAAACTGAAATGAATTCAGAAACATGTATTCATAAAATACTTTTGCTGTTCAATGAGCCATTAGTATTAATTCCTGAATAACTTCAGATGCTTAATCACATGAGGAAAAGTGATAAGTACTTACATAAGTAAAATATTTTTGTTAATGTCTAATGAATATGTCAATTTCTTATATAGTCTAAATTTTCACAAAATGAATTTGATGCATACATATTATGTTTGTAATTTTCCTTAAAATAGATATAAATTGTAAGTAATGTGATAACTGTATTCCATATTGTATCCCTCACATAATTCTTATAGAGAAGTTAAGTTTCATTATTATCCATCTTCAAGCTTAGCTATGCATGCCTGAGTAAATGACAATATTCTTCTTAGCTCTGTCAGATGATGTAGACATTGATAACCATTATAATGTTCCTTTGACAAGAAAATGTCATACCTAAATGTGTCATTTAAAATTCAACATTCAATCAGGTCATCATGGAAGGAACTGAAAAGCTTTGTTTCCGTTTTTAGAAACTGACCTCAGAAATGTCATGAAGTTTCTATGTTCTGACATAAATGACACTTATTTCTGAAACATGAACTTTTAGTAGGTCATGCATGAATAGTCTTAAAACCTCACCACTAAAGGCAGCATAGCCATAGAGGCCAGTGCCAGGAGGAAACAATTATAAAAAGGAAAAAAAATATCTTTAAATAAAGACCACCGGAGAGTTGTAGTTCATGAAAGTGACTTTTATCCTATAAATACACTTAGAGACCTACTATGTTCAAAGCAACATTTATACTGAAAAATAATATTTTACAGTCAATTCTAAAAATAACACTATTTGTCAGGAGAAAATGATATGCAAGAAAATGGTGTGTTCTGTTTCCTCAGAGATCACTGTAGGAGAAATGTGGTAGAGTTGTCAGGGAAACCATCATTTGGAAAGCATGAATATAAATTCTGAATAATGAACATAAAATTGTGACACTGGAGCTGGGGAGAGAATTAATATTACATGTAAAATTCCTAAAAAAACACAAAAGAAGAAGAGGAAGATTTGGGGGAGCAAGAGTATAGAAGATTCCAGGATAGCTGAGCATTAATGGGTCTGAGGAAAGTACTCTGCATATATATTATGACTTTTGTGTTAGTGTTTGAGGGTAATCCTAACATTGGGAGTGGGAGAGGTTTAATCTATCTATTTTGTCTGCTGTTGGGACCCTTTTCCTCCTATTGGTTTGCTTTTACCTACCTTGACATGAACATTTGTGCCTGGTCTTATTGTATCTTCATGTGCCCTATTCACCTTGCATACCTGGAGGCATGCTCTTTTCCTTGGGGTACATGGGTGAGGTGGACTTGGGGGAGATGTAGAGACAGGGAGGAGTGAAGAGAGTAATCCACAATTGGTATTTATTATGTGAGAAAAGAATAAATATTTTTTTTATCAAAGAATGAAAAACCTTACAGATTATGGAGGCTTTAAAATACAAAGAGACAAATGATTTAAATTCTTACCATGAATGTTAGACCCTCCTAACTTTGAGAACATTTTGTGAAACATTTTGAAAATAATTTGTTGATACTGTGCAAATTTGATAGAGCAAAACCTAAATTCTGGTTGTGTAAGTATTACTTATTAAAATAACTAGGAAATAAATAGCAATGACTAAACTGTGTGGGCATTTTTAGTCCCAAGGGATTCTTCCAACCTTGTCAAGGGAGTCTAACTTTTTCTCCTCCAACTTTGAGCTGGAGTAATAAGACTATATTAGAAGATCAGTGGGATACAAATTGGAAAGTAAGAAGTCTATCACTTTTTGCAGATGATAATGGTAATATGCATAAGTTTCCTGAAAAATTCTACCAGGGAACTCCCACAGCTGATAATCCCCTTAATTAATGAGGCTGGATACAAGATAAACTAAAAAAAATCGGTAGACATCCTATATATAAATGACAAATCGACTAGGAAAGAAGTGAGAAATGCATCACCACTGATAGTATCAACAAATAATATAAATATCTGGGAGTAACTCAAACAAAACAAGAGAAAGACATGTATGACAAAAATTTTATGTCTTTAAGACAGAAAATAAAGAAGATATCAGAAGATGGATAGATCACCCATTCTCAGAAATAGGTAGGTTTAATATATTAAAAAGGGCAATCTTCCCAAATACAATCCAAACTCAATGAATACCCATCAAAATCCCAATATAATTCTTCAAATACCTAGAAAGAGCAATATTCAATTTCATGTGTTAAAATAAAAACACAGGAAAGCTAAAGCAATCTTGTACAATAAAGAAATTTCTGTAGTTATCCCCATGCTAGGCTTCAAGCTCTACTATAGAGCTATAGTAGTAAAATCAGCTTTGTATTGGCTTAAAAAATACACAGGGATCAAGGGAATTAAATCTAAGACCCTCAAATAAATCCACACAATTATAAACACCTGATGTTTGACAAAGAAGGCAAAATTAAACAATGAAAAACAAAAGCATTGAGATTTGCTTTATTACTTTCCTTGGTTTTCCTTAATTGCACAATGAAATATTACTTACTAAGAAGTAAAAAACAATGACATCATGAAATCTGTAGGTAAATGCATAGAACTAGAGAAAAATATCCTGAGTGAGGTAACCCAAAACAAGAAAGACAAATATGGTATATATTAACCCGTAAGTGGATATTAGATATAAAGCAAAGGATAAGCAGTTTACAATCCACAACCCCAAGGAAACTAACTAAAAAGGGGAACCATGATAGAGATACACATAGAGGACCCCAGGAAGGGAAAATAGTTAAAATGTCCTGGGTAAACTGGGTGTGGTGAGAAGGGATGGATTAGGGGAAGTGATGATGAGGAATCAAGGATAAGTTGGGGGAGGAATGAAGGAGAGAATAAGGAAAGAGGTATTTTTATAGAAGGAGCCATTATGGGGTGAAAGAGAAACCTAGTGTCTCAAGAATTCTCAGGAATTCATGAGAATGATCCTAGCAAATACTCCTACCAACATTGGAGAGGGTGTCTGATTGGGCCTTCCCCTTTAATAAGGTTAGTAGCTATCCTAAATGTCATTATGGTATCTACATACTGTAACTGGTGGAAGCAGATGCAGAGAACCACAGCCAAGCATTGGACTGAGCTTCTGTAGTTCAGTTGAAGACAGGGAGGAGGGATCATATGATCATGGGTGGTCAAGACAATTAATGGGAAGACCTGAGAGATAGCTGGCCTGAGCTAGTGGGAGCTGATGAATTATGGACAGACAGTTGGAGACCCTGCATGGGACCTAACTAGAGATCTGAGTGTATGTGACAGTTATGGGACTTGATTGTTGGGGGACCCTAACAATGGCAATAGGACATATCCCAGGTGCATGAATTGCCTCTTTGGAGCCCATTTCCTATGGTGATATTTCTTCTTAACCTCGATACAGGGAGGAAGGGCTTTACCCTGTCTTAACTTGGTAGTCCAGACTTTGTTGAGTCCCCAAGAAAGGCCTTATCCTCTATAATGTGAGGATGGAATGTGGGAAGGGGGGAGGTAAGGGAGCAGAAGGAGGGGAAATTGTTTTTGTATGTAAAATGAAAAATAACATTTAAAATAAATAAATAAGAAAGAAGAAAACATCTTCAACAAATAGCACTGGCATAACTGGACATCAACAAGTAGAAGAATGCATATAGATCCTTATTTGATGCCCTGTATACAACGCAAGTCCAGGTGGATCAAGAGTTCAACATAATTCCAGTTACAGTGAACCTAATCGAAAAGGACATGGGAAGCAACCTGAAATGCATAGTCACAGGAGACTATATTCTTAACATAAGACCAATAGCATAGACATTTCTGAAACTAAAAATTCTTCATAGAAATGACATCATCACTTGGACAATACAGAAGCCAACAGAATAGGTTATTCAAAAGCATAATAAATATTTAAAGAAATTATCAGTTGTTTTAGTCACCAGCGAAGTACAAATAAAACCTACATTTTGATTTCATCTTCTAACTCTCAGAATGGATAAAACTAATAAAAAGAATTGACAGTTAATGCTGACAAGGATGTTGAGAAAGTGGAACACGTATCCATTGCTAATGGAAAGGGAAATTTTACCACTGTAAAATCCATGTGGTAGTTCCTCAAGAAGACAAGCATTGCTCTATATGAATATCCAGCTCTACCGCTCTTGGTCATATACCCAAAACACACTTGGTTGTACCACAGACATTTTCATTATCCATCTTCATTAATATTTTATTAATAGTAGTCTAAAACTGGAAAACTAAAACAAAATACAAAAATGGGATGCCCCTCTAAAGAAGAATTCATAAATAATATGTGAATTACTATTTAGTGAATGGAGTATTACTCAGTCATTAAAAATGAACTAGTAATATTTTCAAGTAAGTAGATAGAAATAGAAAAAATCTTGACTTAAAGAAAAAAAATCTGACCTCGTACTGACTTGTGAAGCAACCTTGTTTCTTATCTAAATTTAAAATGGAAAATAAAAAAAATATTAATAAAAAAAGAGAGGTTAAAAAAAAAAAGAAAAAATCTGGCTTTCCATTCCCCAACCCCTGGCGTGCCCAGCTTCAGGTGAGTTTGGGTCCTGCGGGGGACCACTTCCTTTCCCATCACACACTCCCTCAGTCTTCCAAAGGCCATTCCCTGCATCGAGAGTAAAGACATGAGCCCTGCAAGACCCCATCTCTGGCTCTCCCCACCTGAGTGCCTGGCTTCAGGAAAGAAGGAGACCAGTGGAGACAAAGAGATCACACTTGCACCCACTGGAATAAAGGTTGGGGAGACAAAAGTATAAGAACATACTCAGCAATAGAAAGACCAATATGACTCCACCAGAATCTAGAGACCCCACACCAAGAGACCTGAAACCCACAACAAGATGAAGCAGAAGAGACAGACATTAAAATTATTTTATTGAGATGATAGAGACCCTCAAAGCAGAAACAAGGAAATCCCTTAAAGAAATAGAAAAAAAACAAAGAAAAATACATGTAACGCAGGAAAAGACAAACCAAAAAATTCAAGAAATAAACAAATCTCTGAAAGAATCTAAAGAGAGCCCAGAAAAAAAACAAATGAAGGAAACAACTCAAACAGTTGAAAGATTGAAAGCTGAAATAGAAAAAATAAAGAAAACACAGAATTAGGGGATGCTGGAAATAGAAAAGCTGGGAAAACGAACAGGAACTACAGATGTAAGTATAACCAATAGAATACAAGAGATGAAAGAGAGAATCTCAGGTGTGGAAGACTCATTAGAGGATATACAGTTATCAACCAAAGAAAATCTAAAGTTCAACAAATCCTTAACACAAAATATTCAGGAAATGTGGGACACTGTGAAGGAGCCAAAACTGAGAATAATATAGAAGAAGGTGAGGAAATACAGCTCAAAGTTACATAAAAATATTCAACAAGATCATAGAAGAAAACTTCCCTAACCTAAAGAATGATATGCCAATAAAATATGTGTATAAAAATAGAATGATGACTACCTTATATGCAATCCTAGAACTCTCATCCAATGGGTGATGGAGGCAGAGGCAGACACCCACAGCTGTGAACTGAATTGAACTCCTGGAATGCAGTTGCAAAGAAGAGTAATTTCAAAGGAATCAAGATTGGGCTGGTAAACCCACAGAGGCAGCTGACCTAAACAAGGGGGAACACGTTGACCCCAGACTGATGACTGAGGAGCCAGTATGGGACTGATCAGGACACCTTCCCACCAAACCTGGGTGACAGAAAGGAGGCCTTGGGATCAGTATTTATTGCTGGCATATAGAAGGGCTCTGGGAAACCATGTCACGTGGAGGGTTGCTCTCTCAGCCTGGACACATGAGGAAGAACCTGGGCCCTTCCCGGGATGATGTGATAGTCCCTGAAAATCCCTCTTGGAGGCTGTTACCCTCCCTGGGGAGCAGAGGGGGGGGGTGGAGTGGGGGTGATGGGTTGGGAAGATTGCAGGGTGGGGGAGGAGGGGAGGGAGAGGGAACTGATAGTGACATGCGTAAAAAAGTTAAATAAAAACTATATGGAAAAATACCAGAATCTTACAGAGTACCAAATAGGCTATACCAGAAAAGAGAAGTCCTCTCACCACATAATAATCAAAACATCATATACAAAATAAAGAGAAAATAGTATGAGCAGTGAAAGAAAAAGGCCAAGTAACATATAAAGGCAGACCTATCCATGTTATACCTGACCTCTCAATGGAAACTATGAAATCCAGGAGATCCTGGACAGATGTCCTATAAACACTAAGGGAACAAGGATGCCAGTGTAGACTACTGTATCCAGCAAAGCTTTCAATTACCATATGTTCAGAAAACAAAGTATTTCATGACAAGGCCAGATTTAAACATTACATATCCATTAATCCAGCCCTACGGAAATTACTGGAAGGAAAAGTTCAACCCAACGAAGATAACTATACTCACAAAGACATAGGCAATAGATAATCCCACTTTACCAAACACCAAAAGAAAAATGGAGGAAAACCAACACACAATAACACCACCACCAATAAATAAAAAAAAACAAACAAGAACCAACAGTCAATGGTCATTAATATCCCTCAATGTCAACGGTCTCAACTTGCCTATAAAAAGACACAGACTACCAGAATGGATATGAAGACAGAACCCATCCTTCTGCTGCATACAAGAAACACATCTCAACATCAAAGACAGACGTTACCTCAG